GTGAACACTCCAACTCAAAAAGACAGATTTTATGTTAGGGTATCCTGGACTTTTTTTTTTTTAAGTCTAGACTTTCTTTTAAAAGAAAGTCTAGACTTTAGTTTCATTGGTGTAGGTACTCCTGGTGTGAAAATTCTCTCCAGGGAGGCAGAATAGCGATTCCTTTGTAACTTATAGCCTTAGGGTGTTGCTTGGGTCTTTTAGAGGTAAAATGACTTCCCCTGGGTCACCTCTAGTGAGTATCAGAAACAGGCCTTGAATCCGGGTTTTTCTTAATCCAAAAGCAACCCCCTCTCCATTATGCTATTCTGCCTTTCTGTTTATGGGGAAGAATTAACTCTTGACACCTGGGCTGTAGTGGAAGCATTATCCTAACCCCATAAAAAAAGTTAGGCTAATTTTTCCTTAGAAGTTGTTAAAATTTTCCTAGAGATTTCAGAGGACTAATGGCTCAGGTTGTTGATTGACATCACTTCTGGTCACCTGAGTACAAAGCAACCAGGAGTAGCTGTAGTCTTTCTCTGAGACTTGTCTGGCAGGTGGTGATATGTAACACAGAGGCAAGGAGGTTTCATGTAGCTGAGTCAAAGTTGTATTCTCCTTGTATATCCTTGCCTTGCTATTTATTGCTAAGTAAATCTCCTTTCATTAATCATTTAATGATCTATAAGTATATCATTTCATTCCAGTATTCACCCTAAACTATCAGTGGGACTGGCCAGAGTCAGGCGCAGCCCAAATGAAAGAAACATTTTCGTCAACGAAAAAGAGAAAGCAAAGATTAATTGAGCATACAGCAACAACAGAAATTTAGAAAAGCAACATATTAAAATAATGCCAACTAGTATATAAAGAAAGATAAAATTGGAAAGAAAAAAACTCAATTGATAAATTTGGGAGCTTTTTAAAGAAAACTAAAATACAGACAAATGGTTAGCTAATTTGATAAAAAGAACAAAACTATTTTACTACAATCAAAAATGAAAAGGGAGAACCGATATTTAGAAAATATACAAATACCCAGATCAACAGAATAAGATAGTTTTAACTTATCTAATCTCAGAAAAAGAAATTAAGCAAGTCATAAGAGAACTCCCAAATTTAAAAAACAAAACTCTAGGACCAGATGGATTTAAAAGTGAATCCTATCAAACATTTAAATAACAATTCCAATATTACATAAATTATTTTCAAAAACAGACAAAGAAGGGATCCTACCAAACTCCTTTTATGAGACAAATAAAAGGCTTCATACCTTAAGCAGGGAGAGATAAAACAGAGAAAGAAAACTAGAGTCCTATCTAATGAATATTGATGCAAAAATATTAAATAAACTATTTAGCAAAGAGGCTGTAGCAACATATTGAAACAATTATGTGTTATCAGGTTGGATTTATACCAAGAATGTAAGCTCGGTTCAGTCATTGTAAACACTTATAATAAAACAATAAAAATCTCATTCAATCAACAGATAGTGGAACACTCAGGCTCTAAGGGACTGAAGTGTTTTGTTTAGGCAACTATGTATTTAATGGTATTTAGTACTTTGCTGGAGGAGTACCAGTCTGTATATTTGCTTTAGGTGCAGAAAGGGCCAGTTGAGAATTTCTTACGTTTTTCCCCTGCCTTCACTTGCCTGCTAAGCCCAAATCCTGAAAATTCAGTACTTCCGTAGGATCATAGATTTGATCTGGAAAGGAGCAGAAAGGCCTATAGATGAGACCGCCTGTTGTCTCCAGGAGGAGATAGGGAAGTACTTAGATTAGTTTTGATGTCCTATTTTCATATTATCATCGTCATTATCTCATAAAAACAGTGTAAATACTTTACTGAAAGCAATTGATTATCTTCCTTTTGCTGTGCTTGATCTTTAGGCAGAGAACTTGCCTGAAAATTCCAAATTCACATTATTCATTGAATGCATTTTGGTTATTCCTGTTTTTATAGTAGAGAACTGAGTAAAGAACTTGGACATTTTTGCTAGAAAAGAAACATATAATGAGCTATGTCATTGTTCTTTATTTTTGTGGCAGCCTCACTGCTGCCATGCTGCCTTTTTGGAGTTGCAAAGACTCAGAACTTGTTTGAGATTTCTGGCTGCTCATCATCATGAAATCATTTAGTTCTTGAACTAATGGTCTACATCGGATCACTAGCTACAGACGAACAGTGTCAGTGGCACATTTTGTTACCAGAATGTTGCTTATTGTCTGTTTATAATAAACTCTTAGTTGTTCTAAAAATGCTGTGTTATCATTTGTTCATTTTCCAAAGTACCACACCCTAACATTTTATTCCTCGTGGTAAGCCCTGTCAAGTAGATGAGACAGGTGATGTTCGCCTCATTTTATGAATGAGGAAATTGGGGCTGATGAGGTCTCTGTGGCTTATCTAGGACTTTGGCTTAGTACCTTAGTGCTTTTTTCTCTAAAGCTTGTTGGGGGTAGCATTGCATGTATTGGGTATTCTTTGTTGTGACATTTCATTAAAATTACCAGATAATTCTAGCAAAGACTTGGATATTTTGTTTCTTGGTATTTGTGTGAGTTCTTTTCTTCTTTAATTACTCCCTTTCTTTGCTGCAGCACTGAGTAAATTTTAGTATGGCACTTTATCTTCATTGCTACTATAATTTTTAAGAACCTGAATGCCTAATTGGAATTAGTTGAATTTTTTCTGTGATCTAATTTTTCTTGCTTTCTCTAAAGTAATGAGTTTTTTATTGTAATTTGCATACAAAAGTATTCCAAATGTGTTTAATTGCCATCTGTCTACATACCCCTACAGTTGGTCCCTTGGGGGATATAAAACATGAAAATAGTCCCTGCCCTAGAGATTAATGGTTTAGTTGAAGAGATCAATTCAGTGCATATTTATTAAATTGGTACTATGTGTATGCTAGAAAGATGTGATTCTTTCCCTCATGGTACTTACATTCCAGTTTGGGGGATTCCTCACATAATGAGGAGTGAGTATGTGTGGCCTAAGGATTTCTGACTAGGAGGGTTATACTGAAAATATTCACAGAGGAAGTGGAGCCAAGTTGGGCAAGTATCTGATATTAGCTGTATCCTGCAACTCTTCCAAACAGTTCTAGAAAATGCAGCAGACTGAGTTCTGATCAGAAATCCAAGAAAGACAAAATTACAGTGAGTAATGTTTTGAGCCCAGATCGGCATAGGCAGAAGACATAGAGGTCTGAGGACACTAGGGATGAGGTCTATCCAGGAAACTCCATATGGAACATTCTCGCTCAAGGCAAGAAAAGATTCCAGATCCACCCTTGGACTTGTGCCAGTTGACTACCCAGTTGTGGGTCATACATCTAGGGCTGATTAAGGAGGGAACTTGTACCTAGAGGTGACATTCCAGGGGAAAGGGTGGTCATGGGCCTTAAACATTGTATCAAGTAAGGGGCAAGTTCAGAGATAAGCAATAGCTGTGTGACTCTGACCGTAGGAGCGGAATGGGGTCTCAGTTCTAGCTTGAAGTCTACTCTGAAGCCTGCAGAAGATTACTGTTCTGTTATTCTGTACTAGCATAGACTGGAAGAAGGAGATATAGGCTCAAACTGCAGTAGTTCCCTGAGGACACATATTTTACTCATCTTTATCTCTCTCTTTTATCATCATTTTCACTGGCTGTCCCCCATTCCTGGAGCTCCCTTCTTCATCTCTGGCTCCCAGCTTCCCTGGCTTCCTTCAGATCGCAGCTAGAACCCCACCTTCTGCAAGAAGCCTTGCCCAGACGTCCTTCCCTCTGAGACTGTCCCCAGTTTATCCTGAATGTAATTTGTTTGTATATAGTTATACATAGTTGTTTGCTTGTCTTCCCCCGTTAGACTGGGAGCTCCTTGAGAGCAGGGACTGTTTTTTTCCTTTTCTGTGTAGCACTTAGCACGGTGCCTGGTACATAGTAGGAACTTAATAAATGTTGGTTGACTGACTGACTACTAGCACCTAACACAGTAGGTGTTTCATAGGTATTGCTTGACCTCTTTATTGGGGTATTGCAGCAAAATTATGCTGGATGCTGAGCAATTGGATGATTTGATAAACCAGTGTTTTCCTGCCAGTTTTATGTAGGATTAGGTGTAGCTGGAAAATAGCTGCCCATCGTCTACTGTATTGGGGTCTTGGTTCAGTAGGCCAGCCAGATTTGATGAAGGATGGAAGTAAGGATGATCATTGCAGAAATGGGCTTAACGGTATAGAACAATATGCCAGGAATAGAATGGCGAAATAAGATAGGAGAGAAATCCCTTTGACCATCCATTGTGGTAAAGAAATTCAAAAGGATTGATATTTTTGGCCTTCCTCAGAAAAGACAGGGAATTAGATGAAAAGACAGTCCTGGTCCTTACCTCTTAGAAGTGCTTGTGGGTGTGTATGTATGTATACACATACACACATATATGAGTTTATAAAATATATATTATATATATCCATATATCTATACATATGGATGTAGTCATATATGTGAGTATATATATATATGTACAGATATGTATATGCATATAGATATATTTGTATATACATATAGATTATGTATATATACATGTATTGTGTGTATTTGTGTGTGTATGGCAGTGGCCCCCAATTAGAAGTCTAGTGTTTTACAGATAGCAACTTATTTGATTTTCCACTAAAAAATTGTTATAATGCAGTGGGAAAAACATTGGGTTTGGAGTCAGAAGAGCTAAGTTCAAGTCCCACCTGTGCTACTCCCTTGTTTTGTGACCTTAAGTGAGTTATTTCCTCTCGCTGGACCTCATTTTCCTCTTCTATAAAATGAGGAGTTTGGGTTAGAAGGCTTTGTGTTCTCTTGCAATATGATCCCATGATCCTATGGGATGTGTTTAGTACCCTTTAGTGCCATATAAGGCAAAGGAAGTTGCTCCTGATGAAATGATAATAGATAAAGCATGTTTGTAAAAGTTTCCAGATTAAAGTTTATTCTGACCTTAGGCTCATTGCTGAATATTGCTATTTCTCATTTAGTCAGGATTCAGATGAACATGTTGAAGAAGTCGGTGCTGTGCAGAAAAATCCTGCCCCTGTGACGTCTGCTAGCTCAAATGACCCTCCGGACTCGACGGGCACAGCTTGCTCTGATACATCTGAATTAACAGCGCCACTCAATGAGCCAGAGACTTCACAGGAAGTACCTGATGTAGATGTGACACTGGGGAACGAAAGCCATGGTGGTGATACGGATTGTACCGAGTCACCTTTGGAACAGGAAAAAGCTGAAAATGTCCCTGTAGGAGAAGCTGTTGTTGATGTGCCCAAGAAGAATAGGATTACTTACTCCCAAATTGTTAAAGAAGGCAGGAGATTTAATATTGATTTGACCTCAAAGGTAGGCACCAATTTTACCCATCTTATCATAGGCTAGTACTTACTTACTTTTAATTGATTAAATATAATTTGAGGGCCCGTAAGTCTAATTTGCATTGGACAAGGGAGGTAAAATATTTCTTTTGTAAAGAGATGATAGCATTGCAAACTAGTAAATATCAGAGCCAGGAGTCAGTCAATCAATCAACAAATATTTATTATTCACCATTGTGTGCTAGGCACCATGCCAGGCATTCAGGGTATATGTTCTGCTTGCAAGGAGCTTATATTCTAATAAGGGAGACAAGGATATATGAAAATATATACAACACAAATATAAGGTGAATACATGCAAATATAGAGAGAGCCATGAAATACAGAATAGTTTAGGAGGGAGGCCACTGACAGTTGGAGGGACTGGGAAAAGCTTCATGTGGAATATGATGTTTGAACCGCATCTTAAAGAAGAGGGGGGCTGTCCGAGGGAGGGCATTCCAGCTATGGGAGATAACCAGTGTAAGGGGATATGGGGTTTTGCGTGTGAGGATCAGAGAAGGCCAGTTAGACTGGACACAGAGTGTGGGAGGGAGAGTAATGTGCTGTTAGGCTGCAAAGATAGATTAGGGCCAGGCTGTTTAAGGTTTTAAAAGTTAAGCAGAGAAGTTTTGATTTGATCCTAGCATCAAGAGGAAGCCACTTGAGTTGGTGTAGAATGGATTGGAGTTGTGAAGCACTTAAGGCAGGGAGACCAATTAGGAGGCTGTTTTAATAATCTAGGTGAGAAGTGACAAGGCCTGAACTAAAATGATAACTTTGTGACTGAAGTGAAGGGGTTGGGTGAACAAGGTGTTGTGGAAGTAGAAACATCAAGACGTGGCAACTAGAGAGTGGAATAAGGATGGCAGAGTGAGAGGAAGCTTTAGAGTCCAGCTTTTCTCCCCCATCTCCTTGACAAAGATGTAGAGAATGCACCAGATTGAATTCTGATTGGGAAATCCCAGAAGTCATGGTGAGTCATTCTTTTAGGCCAGGTCAGCTTTAGAGATGTCTGTGGACTCTGGAGAAGGGGTTTGGCCAGGCATGCATGGCTGCAGTGGCAGCAGCAGGGAGCATTCTAGTACCCAGGGACTCAAAGAAGGGTGAGACATGGCAGCAGAAAGAGATCTCAAGGAGTCCCTGAGCAAGTACTCAGTACAGGAACATGTGCCATCCAGCAGCTCTGTCACATACCATCCAGTGTGAAGAATGGTCATGAGCATTGGCCCTACCTGTGACTGAGAATGAAACAAAATCCAGAAAGTACATGGTAGCTGTATGGGTGGCTCTGATCCAAAAGCAGAGAGCAGTGTCCCAGACTAAAGGGGAATCAGCAGTTCAGTCTCTCTGAACCTGCAGAGCCCCTCTGCAGGCCAGTAATGACTGAGTCTAGCAGCAGGCTGCTAAAAATCCCAAACAGAGATAAGCTGATAGACCCAAAGCTGGGTCAGGAAGTTGCGGAACTGAGACTAGGAGAGCAGTAAACAGACTTCCCCCCTGGATCACATCACTTTGAAAACACTGTAAACTTGTAGGCCCCCAGAAGGTCATAAGGGGACAGAAGCTCAGGCCAGACACTCTTCTCATAAGTGTGCAGAGCCCAGCACTAACATAAAGTCCAAAAACAAAAAGTAGGCTAGAAGAATTAGCCAACAAAAACCAAACTTGATCATAAAGAGCTAATATGGTGACAGGGATGCTCAAGACACAAGCACAGAAGAAGAGAATGACTTGAAAAAAATCTATAAACAAAGCCACAGAAACAAAAGCAGCTTGGACACAAGTCCAACAAGAACTCCTGGAAGAGTTAAAGAAGGAGCTAAAAATGATTTAAAAAACCAAGTGAAACTGGGGAAAAACAAAATATTAAATAAATGAAATTTTAAAAAATGAATGTTAAAACCAAATGAGAGCAGTAGAGGAGGGAATGGGAAGAGGCAAAAGATAAAATGGAAGGATATAAAAAGAGAATTAAAAGTTTGGGAAAAGAGGTACAAAGCTTTATTGAAGATAATAACTTCTTGAAAATTAGAATTGGTCAAATGGAAGCTAATGACACCACGAGACATCAAGAAATAATAAAAACAAAGTCAAAAGACTGAAAAAATAGAAGACAGTATGAAATATCTCATAGTAAGGCCAATTGAACTGGACAGTAGATCAAGGATTAGGAATCAATGGACTACCTGAAATCCATGAATAAAAAAAGATCCTATATATCATCTTTTAAGAAATTACAAAAGAAAACTGTCTGTCAAGATATCTTAAAACCAGAGGAGAAGGTAGAAATTGAAAGAGTCCATGGGTCACTTCCCAAAGCAAATTGAAAATGAAAATTCTCAGGAATATTTTAACCAAAATTGAGAGCTCCCAGGTCAAGGAAAAGGTACTGCAGGCAGCCAGAAAGAAAGCATTTAAGTGTGGAGGAGCCACAGAATCACTCAAGATGTAGCAGCCATAAGTGCAAAGGCATGGAGAGCTTGCAATATAATATTCAGAAGGCGAAGGATCTAGGATCACAACCAAGAATAACCTACCCCACAAAATTGAGTATAAATCTCCAGGAGAAAAAATGGACCTTTAATGAAATAGAAGATTATTTTTAAGCATTCCTGATGAAAAGACCAGAGCTGAGTAGAAAATTTGACATTCAAACATAGGAGTCAAGCGAAGCATAAAAAAGTAAATGTGAGTGAAAAATCATAGGGGACTAAGCAGGGTTAAACTGTTTACATTTTTATATGGGGAGATAATAACACATAGTTAGATCTTTATCATCACCAGGCTCTTAGAGGAAGTGTAATTAGAAAAAGACCTGGATGTGATTCTGTTATATTTGGATGATCTCAAAAGAAGAATGGATGAGTGGGGAAGAGGGAGGAAGGGAGAGGAAAAATGGGGAATTGTGTCACATAAATAGGACATGCAAGGAAGAGTTTATACAGCAAGGTGGGACTACTGGCAAGTGAGAAGCATGTGATATTTGAACCTCAGCCTAATCTGAACTAGTTAAAGGAGGGACAAATACACATACATGTAGTTGGGTACAGAAATACATCTTACCCAGCAGGCAAATTGGAAGAAAAGAGGTAAAGGGAAAAAAGGGTAAAGGTGGGAAGGGTAGATTAAGGGAGACGTTATTCAGAAGTAAAATAGACTCTTAAAGAGAAGGTGGGGGGAAAAGAAGGAAAAGTATAGAAGAATAAGATGGTGGGAAATATCAGATTTCAAACTATATTATAAAACTAATCATTGAAACAATCTGGTACTGGGTGAAAAATAGAGAGGTTGATCAGTGGAACAAATTAGGTACTCAATATACCAAAACTAACACAGTAGCCTAGTATTTGATAAACTCAAAGATCCTGGTTATTGGGCCAAGAATTCACTAGTTGACAAACACTGCTGGGAAAATTAGAAAGTAGTCTTGCAGAAACTACAACATCTTACACTGTATACCAAGATAAGCTCTAAATCAATGCATCATTTAGACATAAAGGGTGATATGTTAAGCAAATTAGTAGAGCAGAGAAGAAATTACCTGTCAGATCTCTGGATAGCAGAAAAGTTCATGACCAAACAAGAGACAGAGAAATTTAAGGAGGTAAAATGGATAATTTTGATTGCATGAAATTAAACAGGTGTTGCACAAACACAATCAAGTACACCTAAAATTATCAGAAAAAGCAGGAAACTGAGGACAAAACCTTTGCAGCAAGTGTCTCTGATAAAAGGTCTCATTTCTCAAATACCTAATAAGGAACTGAGTCAAATTTACAAGAATAAGAGACATTCTCCAACTGATAAATTATCAAAGGATATGACTAGACAGTTTTTAGAGGAAGAAATCCAAGCTATCAATAGCCATATAAAAAAAATACTTTAAAATCACTAATGATTAGAGAAATGCAAATTAAAACAATGTGAGGTACCATACCCATCAATCAGATTGGCTAAGATAATAAAAAAGGATTATGGGAGAACAGGCAGACTGATGTTGGTAGAACTATGAACTGGTCCTACTATTCTGGAGAACAATTTGTAACTATACAAAAAGAGGTATAAAACTGTGCATGTCCTTTGACTCAGCAATACTGCTACTAGGTCTGCACTCCAGACAGATCAAGGAAAGAGGAAAAGGGTTCATATGTACAAAAAACATTTATAGCAGCTCTTTTTGTGGTAGCAAAGAATTAGAAACTGAGGGGATACCCATCAAATGGGGAATGGCTGCACAAATTATGGTATACGAATGTGATGGAATACTATTGTGCTATAAGAAATGATAAAGAGGGTGGTTTCAGAGAAGTGTGAGAAGATGTATATGAATTGATGCCAAGTGAAATGAGCAGAACCAGGAGTACAATTTATACAGTAACAGCAATATTGTAAAGATAATCAGCTGTGAAATACTTAACAACTCTGATCAACAAAATGACCATCTACAATTCGAAAAGACTTGTGATGAAACATACTGTCCACCTCCAGATGGAGAGCTGATGGACTCAGAGTAGATTGAAGCATATTTTATTTTCTTTCTCTCTTCCTCCCTCCCTCCCTCCCTTCCTTCCTTCCTCCTTCACTCCTTTCCTTCCTTCCTTCCTTTCTTCTCTCTCTCTCTGTCCTCCCTTCCCGGTGTAGCTAATGTGGGAATTTGTTGTTTTGCATGATTGTGCATATTTGTAATGAGTTTTGTTTTTCTTGCCTTCTCAGTGAGTGAGTACAGGAAGCAGAGGAGGAAGAAAGAATTCAGAGCCAAAAAAAAAGTGAATTAAAAAAAATTACAAAATACAGATTTGGCAACTAATTATATACGTGGGGTGAGGAAGATTGAGGAGTTGAGACTAATGCTAAGATTCTGAATTGGAATACTGGAAAGATAATAGCATGTATATAGTGCTTTCAGTTTTATAGAGCTCTTAACATATGTTATTCCATTTGATCCTCACAAAAATCATGTGAGGTGGGTAAAAGAAGGATAATAAC